TTAAAAGGAATTGTTGCATTGTCAAAGAAGCCAGTAAAACATATTATATGGACTGTGTCTATAGCATGTCTAAAGTCTCTGGAAGCATTAGATGAAAGTGAATGTAGTCTCTTTGATGGCGTTTGTGACAATGGCCACTCTGGCATTGTGTACACCAGGATGATAACGTTGATAGCAGTCAATACATTCCTGAACAACTATTGTAAAAAATAAAATGGGCAAAGACTGTCACAAACATCACAGAGGAAACTGAAAACTTTGCAGAAGTGATGTAGCTGCCTTTCACATTAATTTGCCCCTGAACTGCAACAACATGAGTTGAAATGACAACTGGTGAAATTTAGATTAATTGAAGGCCACAATGTGAGTTTCTATATTTTCCTCTAATTTACTAATTTACTCAAAAGAAGTTTCATAGGAAGATTGAATGTTGTACTCTCTTTCTATTACATTTGTTGGTTCCCTTGAACGTTTGTGAATGTACTCACAATGAACTCTGTACACCAATATCTAGTGTAGCTGGGTTTTTTTGTAACTGGAGATTATAATTGAAGTTTACTGTATGTGAAAACTTCTTACCTAAGTATGAGTTTGTGCATATTAATATCTCATGCTGTGTCAATTGTAAATAAAAAGTAATACTGAAAATCAAAAGTTATTAAACTCTTACTATTATTTGACAATACCATCATACAACAGACATCCACCACTTTCCCCTATTATATGCTTGTAAATTATACGAAACATACACTCAAATATGCAAGGGAAACTGAACTCAGTAACACTGTAAGCTAGTGTGAAGAATCTGGAATACTGCAGTGAAAGAATCAAGAAAATATCTTGTTGCGTACACGAGAAACTGCAAGTTAAAACACTTGTGACAGTAGCTGGCAACTGCAGAGTTCAGGGACTGTAGGACTACCTTTGATGACATCACAACCTGGTGTTCAGGCTTTTCATATAGGAGGTGGTGGTACTGCACAGGTGAGTGGCAGGCCAGGGACTCTGACCTGGGCCGCTGGCGGCAAGGTGATTTGCGCCCACCGTGGGCGGGGCAAGGCAGGAGGGAGGCCAGCCGTGCCACCCCATGAGGAAGGCCAGCCGACCTGAGGCTGCGGGGGGGGGGCACCGAGTACTTCTCCCGGCAGGGGGGGACAGGACTCAGGCAGCCTGGTGCAGCAGGATGCAACTGGGCGGCGAGGGGCGGGCAGGGAAAGCGGCCAGCAACAACCAGCCTCCAGACGCGGTGTGGGAGGCTTCCGCTGGGTCCTACCTTCCATGCATTCCCAGCAGGCGGAAGGGAGGCTGGCTTGGTGTGGGGGGCAGGCAGGGGGGTCGGAATGATCGAGGGCTGGCTGGGAAAACAGAGACAGGAGAGTGGTGGGGGTCACAGAATAGCTCCAGCATTTCATCCCATCCTTCTGGAGAATCCAGGAGGGATTCTTTAAGGAGCAACAACAAGAGGAGCCGCTGGCTGGAGGCACCGGGCCATTCCTGTCCCGTCCAGGAAATGAACAGGCCACGCATGGCTGGGTGGGAGGGGATAGCGAACCACTCATCCTGCACACCTCTTCCTCCTCCAACCTCTCCGCGCCCCCCTCCCTGAGCCACGACGAAAGCCGGGTGAGCCGAGACCACAGGCACAGTCCTGAGGGCACTGCTGCTGCCCCCTCCTCCCCAGTCTTAGACTCCCTCGCCTGCCTCGGCCAACAAGGGAGCAGCACAAGCTGGGCCGCATTCCTCGACCCAAGCCACTAAGCAGCGCCTTGCTTCTTCTCCCCCCCCCAATACACTAAAATACATTAAAATGCAGAGGATTTATTATTTTGTTATTATTTAAAAGTATGCCCCCAAAATCCCTAGCTATGGGGCTGCTTTATTCATAGCTAAATCTCCTTCCACAATCTGAGCATTTATACTGTTTCACCCTGGTTTGAATTTCTCTATGGTTACAGTACAGTTTCTGAGCAAATGCACATTCCTTCCTATAGCTTTTATGGTTTCAGCTCTGTGTAGTCTGTGGTTGTCATTAAGGTGTGAAACACGGGGAAGGTCTCGTCATAGTCTGAGAAGCTACATGGTTTCTCCCCTTGTGGGTTTTTTGATGTTTTTGAAGGTGGGATTTCTGTGTGAATTTCCTTTCACACTCGGAGCATTCAAAAGGTTTCTCCCCTCTGTGGATTCTTTGATGCCGCTGAAGACTGACACTCCAACGGAATTTCTTTCCACACTCTAAGCATTGAAAAGGTTTCTCCCCTGTGTGGATTCTTTGATGCCCTTGAAGATGGCCTCTCCAGCTGAATGTCTTTCCACACTCCAAGCATTCAAAAGGATTCTCACCTCTGTGGATTCTTTGATGCTGTTGAAGATTGCCACTGATACTGAATCTCTTTCCACACTCTGAGCATTCAAAAGGTTTCTCCCCTGTGTGGATTCTTCGATGCCGCTGAAGACAGACACTCCAACTGAATTTCTTTCCACACTCTGAGCATTGAAATGGTTTCTCCCCCGTGTGGATTCTCTGATGCTCTTGAAGACGGCCTCTCCTGCTGAGTCTCTTTCCACAATCTGAGCATTCAAAAGGATCCTCACCTCTGTGGGTTCTTTGATGCTTTTGAAGCTCGCCATTGTTACCGAATCTCTTTCCACACTCTGAGCATTCAAAAGGTTTCTCCTCTGTGTGGATTTTTTGATGCCGCTGAAGACTGAGACGCCAACTGAATTTCTTTCCACACTCTGAGCATTGAAAAGGTTTCTCCCCTGTGTGGATTCTTTGATGCTCTTCAAGATGGTGTCTTCTGCTGTATCTCTTTCCACACTCTGAGCATTCAAAAGGATTTTCACCTCTGTGATTACTTTGATGCTGTTTAAGAGTGCCACTGTGACTGAATCTCTTTCCACATGCTGAGCATTCGAAAGGTTTCTCCCCTGTGTGGATTCTTAGGTGCAGTTGAAGATGACATCTGCGACTGAATCTCTTTCCACACTCTGAGCATTCAAAAGGTTTCTCCTCTGCCTGGGTTGTTTCCTGCAAAAGGAAACGTGATCTGTCCTTGAAACACTTTCCGCACAGAAAGCATTTATTTGCCTTCCCATCAAATAAACTCTTCCCACTATCTGTGCAGATAAATGGCTCTCTGCCTGAATGGTGGAAACTCTGTCTCTGGTGTTGAATAAGGTTTGATTTCTCTGAGAACGTCTCATCACAGTCTGAGCAGGAATACAGTTTCTCTCCTATGTTTCTTTGCTGTTTCATGAGCTCTGCTCCACAAAGGAACCTCTTTCCACACTGCAAGCAATTATGGGCCTTCTTCACAGGGTGCTTTTGCGAATCAATATCATTTCGAATTTGATCTGACAAATTCAGTCCCCAATCCAAGCATTTGTGTGTTTCCTCCACCATGTGAATTACTTCAGGGAAATCCCCTCCTTGACAAGGAATGGGGTTTCCCCTCGTCTTCTCAACATGGCTTCCCTCCAGCATCTCTGGTCCATCTCGATCCCAGAAGTTACATTCAGACTCTTCCTCCTTGTCTCTTTCCAATGAGAACCCCTGGAATTCTTCAATCGTCTCCTGGGCATCTTCAGCTGGAATAAAGAGAGACGTCCAATCAGCACTAATGCAAGAAGCCGAGCCACCAATCAGGCATTCTTGATTGATAGTATGCATTTTGTTTCCTCTGTCAGACCTTCTCTCCCCGTCCACTCAACCTGAGCTGCTGGTCCCAACCCTGGCTGGGCCCTTCAGTAGTGCTGTTTTTATACTCTGACTATTTCTCCACTCACGAAAACTCCCTAAGACATTTAGAAACACCCCAATATGTACTTGAAGGCAAAAAGTGGCAAAGAATCATTCCCCCACCCTTTGCATTTCATATAATCATAGAGCTGGAAGCGATCTCCAGGGTAAACTAGTCCAACCCCTTGCACAATGCAGGAAATTCACAGATACCTCCCCCCCCACACCCAGTGATCCCAGTTCCATGCCCAGAAGATGGCTAAAAACCTCCAGGATCCCCGGCCAAACTGGCCTGGACAAAAATTGCTTTCTGATCCCAAAGTGGTGATGAGCCTTTCTCTGGGTGTGTAAAAAAGGGCCATGAGAACTAAGCACTGAAGCAACCCTTCCTGCCCTTCCTCTCATGATCTGCCTAAGTTTACAGAATTAGCATTGCTGTCAGATGGCCATCTAGCCTCTGTTTGAAGACCTCCAAAGAAGGAGAGCCCACCACCTCCCGAGGAAGCCTGTTCAACTGAGGGACCGCTCTGTCAGGAAGTTCTTCCTAATGTGTAGCCAAAAACGCTTCTGATTTAATTTCAACCCATTGGTTCTAGTCCAACCTTCTGGGGCAACAGAAAACAACTCTGCACCATCCTCTATAGGACAGCCCTTCAAGTACTTGAAGATGGTTATCATGTCACCTCTCAGTTGTCTCCTCGCCAGGCTAAACGTACCCAGTGGTCAATATTACTATTGTAAAACAACACACATCCAGAAATAAATATATGAAAAAAGATTTGATGCAAGAGACACGCATCCAGACACACTGGATATTTGTTATCAGAACAATCTGGAGAGCACGTGCAGTTACCATGAGAGATTATCCATGGCCTGCTGTGTAAACTTTTAGCAATTCCACATCACATGAGAAAGTAACACCTGACTCGAAAGAAAATCTTTTTTTTCATATATTTATTTCTGGATGTGTGTTGTTTTACAATAGTAATATTGACTACTGAGGAAGGCCCCAAGGGGCCAAAACATGTATGGTCTACTGGTCATAAGATATACCCATCGATTGTATATGTAAAACTATCAGCTCTGTGTGTAAAGAGTTTTAGGAGTCTGATATTTGGATCATTTCTTTTAACCTATTTTATCTTTTACTAATATGTTGTTGTTGTTCAGTCGCACAGTCGAGTCTGACTCTTCGCGACCCCATGGACCAGATCCCGCCAGGCCTTCCGGTCTTCCGCCGTCCTCTGAAGTTGGCTCAATTTCCACGATAATAAATATTTGTATTTTTATAATAACTTACTTTGTTAGCTTGACCCTCATATATCACAGCCATACCTTGGGTTGAGTTCCCTCCCCATCTTCATTGCCCTCCTCTGGACACATTCCAGCTTGTCTATATCCTTCTTAAATTGTGGTGCCCAAAACTGAACACAATACTCTAGGTGAGGTCTAACCTGAGCAGAGTAAAGCAATACCATCACTTTGCATGATCTGGACACTATACTTCTGTTGATACAGCCCAAAATGGCATTTGCCTTGTTAGCTACCGCATCACACTGATGACTCATGTTCAGTGTATGGTCCATTAAGACCCTTAGATCCTTTCTGCACATACTACTGCCAAGACAAGTCTCCCCCATCCTGTAATTATGCATTTGATTTTTCCTACCTAAATGCAGAACTTTACATTTATCCCCACTGAAATTCATTTTATTTGTTTTAGCCCAGTTTTCCAGCCTGATTTTGACTTGCCATGCAGGTCTTCTGATGATTAGTTACCACGACGTCTAGCCCAGTGACCATACAGAGAGTTTCCTTCCTGGTCTGGTGAGAGCTGTGAGAAGCTGGTTTTCAGCCTCCCAAAATACATGTTTGCTGGGGGCGGGGTGGGAGAAGCCAGGAGCTCATGAATTGAAGCCCACAGTTCAAAGGGGACACCATGATTTTTGCAAGAGATGCCAGCAGTGTTCCCTCTAAGCTGAGTTAGTGTGAGCTAGCTCAGAGTTTTTTAGCCTCCGGCTCACACATTTTTATCTTCGCTCAGGAAGGATGGCTCCAGAGCAAATTAATGTATGCAGTGGCCAAATAGCTCGCTCACTTTAATGCCAGCAGCTCACAAAGTAGAATTTTTGCTCACAGGACTCTACAGCTTAGAGGGAACATTGGATGCCAGTTGTTGGGGGGAGGGAAGGCCAGGGGGCCTCTTGCTCAGGGGTCCCCAAACTTTTTGAGCCTGCAGGCGCAGGCGGAATTCTGACCCCACACAGTGGGTGCAGGAACAAAATGGGTGCCACAGGAAGCAAAGCTAGCCACAAAATGGGTGCCACAGCTGGATTTTGGTCACACAGTGTAGGTCCTTGCGCTGTGGTGGCAGGTGCTACCAAAGCAACATTTTAAAAAATCTGCACAGCCAGTCCAATCTCCAAGAGTCAATCAGAGGCCTTGCTGGGAAAAATCCCTACCTGGCCCCACCCGCTTCCTAAAATCTTTTGGCAGGCACCAGAAAAGGTGTTGGTGGGTACACCATGTTGGGGAGCCCGATCTAGCTGACCGCTCTAGGAAGCAGGAGACAGAGCTTTGTCCTCATCCAGCAGGGCTGTTCTCAAGTTACCAGCCCCTTTCCTTTAATAACCCATTATTTAAGGATTCCCCAGCCCCTCAAGAGCCACAGCTGAGCTCAGCCCCAGAAGGAGCTTCCGGGCCTCCAGATCCCAGGCCCCAGAAGGCCTCCCTCCCTCCCTCCTTACCCAGCGGACTCGATACTTCTACCAAACCAAGAGTTGCTAAGAAGTGAAGCAGAAATCCTCCGTTCCCATTCCTTTCCCCTTCCCTCGACAGAACCAAGAAGATACTCACTCTCAGCCAGCTCATCTGGGACGGAAATCCTCTCTTGAGATCCTCTTGAGAAACTCTCCAGCCTTTCTTCAGATGCAAGGCCTTTGTCCGTCTCCACTGTAGCCTCTCTTACATTCCTGGCTTCCTCGGCACAGAGAGAGAAAGAAAGTGATCCTTCTTATATGGGGAATGAAAGAAATGGAAGAAACAGGAAAAATGCTTCTGGAAGGATGGAGATATGATCAAGATCGAAGCCCACAATCTCAACCATTGTAAAGGGGACAGATCCATTCCAGGTCTCAGTCAGCTGACCACAATCCCATTCAGGGGGGAAGGGTGTGTTGTGAAGGCTGGCAACTGAGATTTAGGATCTGGCCCCTTCCAAAGTGTTTCCGAGGGCCTCTCAGCCCCACCTTTGCCGCAGGCCAAGACTTGGGTGATGGCCACAACACTGGCCTCAGTTGCCCCTGGCAAGCCAGGTGTCTTGGGTCACTCCCTCAGGCCATGCTGAATGTCACTTTCACTGCTACCCCTACTCCTCAAGACCCCAAACAGGGGACGAGTAGTGTAAAAAGGTAAAGGTAAAGGTTCCCTTGCTCGAAAGCCAGTCGAGTCCGACTCTAGGGTTGCGGTGCTCATCTCCGTTCCAAAGCCGAAGAGCCAGCGCTGTCCGAAGACGTTTCCGTGGTCATGTGGCCGGCATGACTAAACACCAAGGCGCACGGAACGCTGTGACCTTCCCACCGAAGTGGTACCTATTTATCTACTTGCAATTTCTTGCTTTCGAACTGCTAGGTGGGCAGGAGCTGGAACTAGAGACGGGAGCTCACTCCCTCATGCGGCACACTCGGGTCTCGAACTGCTGAACTACCGACCTTCCACAGCCTGCAGTTCAGCGTCTTAGCCACTTGAGCCACCGCAGCTCCTTGACAAGTAGTGGGGCAGGCCTAAAACATTGTATTCATGTTCACCAGGCCCCAGCCTGTTAGAACTCTCTGTCAAATGATATCCGTGCCATGCCTGCCCTATTAAAGTTTTGCAGGGCATGTATGAAGGAGATGTTCTGCCAGGCCTTTGCTTGAGCCCCACGTAAGTGAGGAAGGGCAGTCAAGAAATCTAATAAAATAAATAAATAAATAAATATTTTCAGCCATGCCTTATCCCAATGGCAGGAATTTGCACCTTTGGCACCTATGAAAGGTCCTTACCCAGAAAGGCCACGCTCCCATAGTTCTCCAGCATGACTTCCCTGTAGAGAGCTCTTTGGCCCGGATCCAGTAGGGCCCACTCGGCATCTGTGAAATACACGGCCACCTCTTCAAAGGAAAAGGGACCCTGGAAGAAAAAGCAGATTCCCTCTTCAGAGATCATGCCAGGGAGAGAAGGCACACTGGAAAGGGGCAGTCTGGGAGGGTGCAGGATGCAGGGCTTGGCATGGGCAAAGGGAGTGGCACTCAGAGCCTCTCTCCCTCGGACACCTCAGCAGCAACTGCAGGAGCAAAAGGAGGGGAGACCCAGGCCGTCCCCTGCTCATCTCCTTTACCTGAACTAGAAGTGCAGCAGCCATTTCCACACATCTGCAAAGACGATGGCTCGACAACATCTTTCCACTGCCTGCAAAGGGGGACAAAATTGGAAGGAAAAGAGTTAAGCTTAGACTTCATATTTCATTTGCTTGTCTGAATGCATTCCTGTTCCCAAAGCTGTGAACCTTTGCTCTACATACACGCCACAAAACATGTAACGCTTTTTGTAAAACTGTTTGAGATGCGGGATGGAAGCATCAGGTGCCCACGTTTCAGACTTCTGTGAGACTTGGATCGATGCCCTGTCAACTCTGGAGCTCCAAAAATTTGACAGCTGGATCAGCCCAATGAGCCACCCAGTCCAGGTATCCATTCTCCCATCGGCTTGCCCCTTCCACTTGCCCTTATGTTCAGATCGGCAAGAGGAAAAGAGGGGGCCGGAAATGAGGTCGCACAACACGTTGCCGTCACATCGAGCCAAAAACCTC